TTCTTTCTACGGCTGCTAATTTCTCCAGTCTATTTTCGGATCTGTTCTCCCTAACGCGCACAAAGCACTTCTGACTGTTTACCCTGAAACCTCCCGAGAGTGACAAAAGCCTTGAGGCTGCCGCTGTTTATTGTACACACTTGGACTGTTAAGAGTTTATTTTCAGCTGGAACCAGGTAGGTCCACATTGTGAGAAAGACTGAGAGAGCCTATTGTACCCCCCAACGCATTCTGCAGCACCGTGTGAGGTGTGGGTCCCTTTATATATTTATTTTCCCCTTTTGAATTGATCCCACTTTCTCATAAATACTAATTTAGCTGTGGGCGGCGATAGCTCCCCGTTTATAGCTTTCTGCAGTTGGTACAAAAGTACCTCTTCGATTTTCTTCCCCAGTCTGCAGCAAGTCAAAATTGCAGGCTAATGGTGAAGTGAACAGCTTATAATATATGATAATCAATATTTCAAATCTGCTTTCTGTGATAGGACATAAAAGAGGGGAGCCGGGGAGGGGAAAGAAGGCCAACTGTTCTCCCCTTGAGCGCGGAGGTGCAAAAGCTAGGAGTGCTGGTGGGTTTCCCTTCAAGGTCAATGCATGCTTATTTCATCGTAAAACCACTTTCTCCCACCATGTCTTTGCTTCATATTTAATTCAGCGGGTGCTAGGAATCCCAGGTAGCTGAAAGGGAAGGCTAGTCAATACTGCTAGCAGAAATACCAAACTGTGGCCATTTCAGGAGCATTCAGAGGAAAACAGAGGAGTTTTGTGACTTGGGTCCACTCCAGCAGCAATGCTACAATGGGGCAAGGCAGGATGGGTTCCCCTGGGGATCATGGGCACCGTGAGGTGTGGCAGAGAGAGACACAGCCAGGATATGACCCAGGGAGTCCGTGCTCAGGAGCTCTGTTGCTGATGGCGCAACTGCATGGCGCAGCCCTTCCATGGGTGGGCAGGACAAGCGTCAGCCACCTCTGTTGAGCCGCTCGCTCCACGTTTGTGTCTCTTTCTGCTGGGGGCCATTGAGCGTGGCTGGCAAGTCTTGCTTTGCTAGTGCTCCCATTTGTAATATGTAGCATTTTATTTGCAGGAATTTTATTTTTATGGTAAGCCACCCTGGGGCACTTTAGGTACTGGGTATGCATTTAGAAAATAAAATAAGCAACCTTGACTTTTATCAGGGATGGCACGAGAGCACTGTGTTTCTCCTGCCTGGAATCTAGAGTGGGCTATAAATGCAACTTCTTCTTTTAATTAAAAGGTAGGGAGTCAGAAATGAAGGCAATTCCTTTAGCCAGGTTAAAACATGTCTTCTGCCTCACTGTCTGCTTGGGGATGGACTTATGTGGCTGGCTGCCCTCCTTTGTATATTTTAATCTCTGATTATCTTCAAAGTTGCCCAAGCAGTTGTAGAAACTTTCTAATGGATATGGACCAAAGAGTAGTTTATAAATGAATGTGAGATTTAATATGATTACTTTTGATGGACAAGTGTGCAGAGGAAAGGCAGTCTGGTGTTTAAAGACCAACAATTAAGCAATCTGACTGGATCCTTTGGAAGTTGTGGAGGATTTTTAATACTATTTTGGGATCTGCTTTGGAGGTCTCTGAGCGTAGAACCTTTTAGCTAAAGGAAGATAAAGAAATACATGAAGTTGTTTTGATGGTAATCACAGGTAGCAACAGAGCAAAGCGACTGTCAGTGTAGATCTTTTGGGAAGGGTCTGATCTTTCTGTGCATTTTGTTAATTCAAACTAATGACAGTGTCCCACTTTGGTATAGTGTGTCTGTTACATTTTCGGTGTTTCTTTGTTTTTATGTTTTCCTTTAATTTGGTTTGCCTACATTATTTATGAGGGGAATAAAGTGTAAACATGTGAAGGGTGATTTTAAAATGTTAATACATAAATAGAGTAGTCATTGGATCTTAGCCCCAGGTGGGAATGGAAAGATGTGACAATCTCTGGGTTAGTCACCACGCTTGCCTTGAAAACATGTCTAGTATTCCATGGTGAGAATCCCAAATATTGCTGTGGGAACAGATCATACATAGTGAACCAACATGTATAAATGCCATTCGTTTGTATACTGTGTACACCAAGGGAGCAAGGTGGTGTCAGGCCTTCTTTATTTTTCCCATGCCCATGTTCTGCAGCTTCAGCCAATGCTAGGGCAGGAACTGTTTTGGACTCTGCCCCTCCAGGATCCACAGACTTCCTCTTGTGCTCAGCCTGGACCTGCAAAGGGAGCCGAGCCAAGAGGAAGTCCACAAGTGCTTGTGGACTGCCCGTTGTTCAACTGGCCACCTTCTCAGTGGCCAAGCTTCTTCCAGTAGCAATGCTGAGCAAGGAAGAACAGTGCTGCTTGCACAGCAGAGGAGGGCTTGGTTCCTGGTGAGCATCCCAATGAGTCTTGGGCATGGTCTCTGGGAGCTTGGTCCCTGGGCTACTGCAAAGCAGACTGGAGTCCAAGAATCCAGTGGATTTCCCTCACAGTGTGGACTCCTTGCAATCATAAACCTGTTGGATGAGCCACTTCAGGGTCAAAATGGAGGCTCACAGAACTGAATATTTCCACATTAAAAAGCAACCCTATTTAGAAAAGGGGTTGAAGAGCTGAGGCTGGAATCCTTCAGCTTGATAGTCTGTTTTTCCAAATGGAGGCCATTCTTTCCAGTTCAGGTGCAGAACTGCCCTCTCCATGAGAAGTGCGCGTCTCTAAAGTCCCACGTTCCAGGAGGAGCCACCCTGTTGTGCAGCTGTGGCAAAAGAGTAGGATTTGTTTGCCTGTGTCACCTGGACAAATGGAGGAAAACCTCTGTATGGTGTATGTTCAGGCAGGCTGTACTCTTGCTTATTTTTCCAGAGCTGCACAGTGCTATGACCTTGACTCTAAAGGTACAAAGAGGCTGCATACATACAGTGATGTGAATCAGAACAGACCAAGCTAGGACGTGATCTCGCCAAAATCAAGTGCATTAAGAGTCCAGCTATTTATTTGTTGCATGGAAACCCTGGTTTTCTTCCAAGGAGCCCAAGGCAGAGTATGTGAGCCACCTCGTCTTGCAAGAACTCTGAGCTAGGCTAGGCTGAGAGTAAGAGACTCACCAAAGATATACATTGAACCAGTGGTTAGAGTGGTTGGACTGGGATTTGGGCCACGTGAGTCCTCTTCCCACTTGACCGCAAAGCTCACTGGGGCACTTTGAGATGCCCATGGACTCTTGGCCTACATTGGCTCAAAGAGTTTGAGGATGAAATGGAGAGGAGGTTGATATGAACCACCTTGGGTTCCTTGCAAGAGGGAAAAAGTGGGATATAATTATAGAAGGTGCTGATGATAGCCAAGTCTTAGTCCAGTACTTCAGAAGCTGTAAGTACCTTTGCCTTCAACAAGAAAGTTCACATGTGCATTGAGCACTCATACTGAAATGGATAGGATAGAAGGCTGAAATACTAAACCTGCTTCTCAAGCAATATGGAATGCAGTGGGACCTAATTCTGAGTAGATGTATAGAGAATTACACTGTCAATGAAATGATGATGGACCCTTTTGAGTCTAGTATCCACTCTTATTCCCAGAATGCCCACAGCACACAACTGATTTTCCTATTGCACATCATCCTCCTGTATATTGGAAAGCAAGTTCCTGAGTTCTGCTGCGTTCGGCATAGCCAGCAAGATGAATGCAGGGAAAGGTCTGTGCCAGTGAAAAAGCTGGGCTGGGTTCACAGTCCTTAGTGACATACTGGGAAGAAGCAATCAGGCTACAAATTGCTTCTTCCCAGTACAATTCAAACCCTGCCCCACTCCCTCGATGGGGCAATTCAAACCCTGCCCCACTCCCTCGATGGGGCAATTCAAACCCTGCCTCACTCCCTCGATGCTGGATTCTCCAGGTACATGGGGCAGGTTTAACTCCTCCATTAGTTGCATTTCCAGGGATGTCCTGATGTTTTGTCCCCTACAGGGAATCACAATAATGCATGCCTATGAAGAAATGAAGTTCCACCATGTTTCTGTGCCCAGAACATATAAATGTACACCAGGATAAATGCACTGCAGGTTTTGTCTTGCACACTTATGCAAAACCCATTATAAGAACACACATTTTGTTAGTTCTGATTAGGTGGGCATGATGACCAAGAAAATCTTCACTCATTAACTCTCCTTGCTATCACTTTGGGGTGGGGGGCAGAAACATGTGGTTTGACTGGAAATGTCATCAGTTCTGAGAAAATGTAAATGCACAATATACTTCCAAATAGTATGAATTTTTTAGATCAATTTTCCAATTTCTGCACCAAACAGAATGAAAGAAGAAGAAGTACTGAGTACACAATCCATACTTGTGTCAAATAAAGCAGCATAATAAAGCTTCTTTGGACAGGCTTCTCCTTAATGCTTAGTGGCGAACAAACAAACAAACAAACAAACAAACATTCCTGTGTTCCAAGCCTTTAAAAGAACACACTTTTTATTACATGACTGCTGTCCAACAGAACAACTGCATGCGAACAGAGGCGTCAAACATGAACAGAGATTAAATTCTGCTTGCTCAGTGTTTCTGGAGTTGTGTTTCTATAGAGTGAGTCGTTGTTCCACCATTGGATCCGGTGAGGAAAAATGCATATATAATTGCAGTGGTATCTTTTGGGCTTCTTAACTATAATTCACTGTTTTCTCCAACAATGTAGCAAAACAAAGACTAGCAGATTTCTACAGCAGATTAGTTTACTGATGAAGCTGGATTCAGCTGAGAGCAATTCTCTCATGGCCCCTTTTCTGTCTCCTTTGGGCTATACAGCCACTGTGGTACCTTGAAAATAGTTCTAAATGTATTCATTGCTTTAGCTCGTTGGCTTGTATGCTCCTGAAATGTCCGGATTATGACTATTTCTTTTTGTAATTAAGAAGCCCGGTGGTCAAGTGAGCAAGCCGCCATCAGGCTGAGGCAGGCGATGAACAATTGAAAAGCACTGTTGTTTCTCGTTTGTTTTGCAGAGCAAGAGGAGTGCGTTAATTGCACAGACGAATGCCGAGTGCTTGGTCATTCTGACAGATGTTGGATGCCCCAGTTCCCCACTGCCAACCAGGCTGAAAATGCAGACTATCGAACAAATCTCTTTGTCCCCACAGTGGAAGCGAACGTTGAGACTGAGACTTACGAAACTGTGAACCCCACAGGGAAAAAGACTTTTTGTACATTTGGGAAAGACAAGCGAGAGCACACTATTCTCATTGCCAATGTAAAACCTTATCTCAAAGCCAAACGTGCCCTGAGTCCCCTCCTTCAGGAGGTTCCTTCAGCATCCAGCAGCCCAACCAAGACCTGCATTGAGCCTTGCACCTCCACAAAAGGACCGCTGGAGAGTTGCGAAGCCAAGACGGGACCCTTGGCTGACCCCAACAGCCAGTACGTGACGGCCACCGACAGCCCGTATCTGTCGCCCAGTAAACAGTCCGGAAGTGCTCCCTTCCTCTCCTCTGATCCCATGGCTAGGGTCTTTGCAGAGGTGCATTCCCGAGTGAGCCGAGACCCCACTGAGATGGACTCTGTGTTGGAGCAGATCGAGCGTTCCAACAGGGAACTAGGCAGAGAGTCCGTGGATGCAGAAGAAGTCGTGCGGGAGATTGACAAGCTTCTACAGGACTGTCGGGGGAATGACCCTGTGGCTGTGAGGAAATGAAAACACAAAAGACAGCCTGGCATTGATTTGCTTTTTTCTGCTGAATTTAAAAAAAAATCTACCCTGGTTCTGAAATTTATACAGGGATGAACGAAGACCAATGTTGCTTTCAGGCTTTTAGTGAACATCTTAAGTGCCCACAAGTATGTTCTTTTCACTGCTCTTTCTTTTTCACAGATAACACTGGTTTCGTTTTTACCAAACTTTCATTAGAACAGTGTGATATATGTTACGAAAATGGAAGGAAGGAAGGAAGGAAGGAAGGAAGGAAGGAAGGAAGGAAGGAAGGAAGGAAGGAAGGAAGGAAGGAAAAATTGGCACTACTTTGACAATCGAATAGAAAGGTATAAGAAAAAAGAGAAATGGAACCTGATATATTAAGATGGATAGTTGATGTTGACTTCACTGTTTACCTGTAGAATCCATACAAGTAAGGGTGGAATAGTTCTGTGATAGGTTTCCAGCAGTCTTTACAGACTTCTACTGAAGATCCCGCAATCAGAAACCAAGTAAACATGAGAACAAAAATACTTGTAGTCAGCCGATCTACATGAAGCATTAACATTCATTTGTGATAAACATTTCTGTATAAAGTTATCTGCCACACACAAAAAAAAAGAAAAAGAAAAAAAGTTTAAAAAAAACAAGACTCCATTCCATAGCATCGTTCAGCAAAATATTCTGGTCATTAGTATACAGTTCATGTCATATCAAAGTTAAATGTAAAATGGTAGAGTCCATGTTTGTCCTGCACACACATAAAACTAACTCACATGGAAAGAAAAGGGGAAGGGGATTCAGTGTCCAGCAAAACTCTTGGCTAAGCAGTATGTTTTAAACCTGAGGCGTAATATGAGATCACAAATAATAATTACCTTTGGTGGGTAATAATAGAAGAAATAAATTAACATTATTAACACCTTTTGTAATTCATTTGTGGACACTAAAATAGCTCAAGTGAGTGAAGCATTTCAGATATCCACGTGAATCCACATAATTCATTTAAATGTGCAAATGTAAGAAAACTCAATGTGTTTACATCAAATGACATATTTTTATTGATTTATTGCAGATTCAGTGCATTTGAGCCAAATTGTTGAGTGTATAAGAGCTATATTGTGTATTTTATTAAATTAATATATAGTTGTGTTGCAAAAAGAAAAAAAATATTTGGGCTTATAATGTAAATGGCAACGGTTGCCTTCGTAGCTGTCGAACTCTATGAGTTTTGTTCTCTCCCCTGTTTCGTTTCCTTTTGGCTTTTCCTTTCCTTTTCTTTTTTTCCTTTCCCCCTGCAGAGTGTGGGAAGCAAAGCTTCAGATTAATGTATGGTCTACCAAGTACCGCAGTACATAATCTGTTCAAAATGTGTCTTGAGTGAGTTGATGGAGCTAACTGAATGGCCTACAAATACATCCATCCATCATGGTTTTGTGCCAGTCCTTGTAGAAGCTTCTGTCGCAACCCATGTTTAATAACAAAAATTACACTTGAACCAACACCTGGAACCTCCTTGTTCTTTACCGAGCGTCCTCACTCACACACACACAGGCCAGGCTGTTTAGATATCGCAGTCATGGTTGAATTCTTAAATTACCCTAATATTTCAAAGTTTGATATTACTCCTTGGTTCGCAGAGCATGAAAATGTGTTGATGCCCAAGTGGTACAAGCAGTCGTTGGTCTGGTTTTCGGAAAAACACTCTGGCATCGACAGAGTTTGGGCTCTCCCTAGCTGCCTGATCGCCTGGCGTTCTTATACTTTCCCATAATGTTATTCTCTCTTTATCCCTTGCACACCATTTTTCATGCGCTCTACATTTGATTCTCCTGAAAGCTTCAGCATAGCATTAATATGTTTTCTTTGAATGAAATTTGTATAAGCACAATGGAGTACCAGAATATATATAAAAATATTCATAAAACATTCATATAACCCCTTAGTTCATTTTCTTCCCCCTTTCTGTGTTTTAGGTAAACTGTGCAAGCTAACATCCATATATGCAACAGGGACACAGGTGACCTGGATTATATTACAGCTGGAATACCTTTCCAAACAAAACAAAAAACTTTGCACAATGGCAGAGTTTGTGTATTCCAAACTGCACAATGCCACTCTGGCATCATGTTTAAGCGGCCACAGAATCAACAGAGTAGCAATAAGTAGAGATGCGATTTCGGAAATACAGTGGCGACCACATCTTTAAAGCAAAAACAAGGCTTATTTGTTTGCTTGTTTATTATATTTATATCCCACTTTCTTCCCTTCCAAGGAACTCAGGGTGGCTAACATCATTTTCCTCCTCTCAGTCTGATCCTCACAGCAGCAACCCTGTGAGGTAGGTTGGGCAGAGAGGCTGTGACTGGCCCAAATCCAGCCAGTGAGCTGACGTGGATCTTGGCTCCCACCACCCAGACGCCCCAAGCCACAAGCTCGGATACCCACTGGGGCCCTAGGATACGTAGGTGAGCAGGCAGCAGTCATTTGCTTCCCACTGTCACTCCCAGTAGTGATGGAAACAGCAAGGCAGTGGCTCAAATCTCACGCAGTGTGTGCTTTCCGTTCTGGCACTTGATCCTGCCTCGGGCATTTATGCGCAATGCTAACCCTTCTATTCCCTTTTCATGCTGGGAGTGAGGATCTCTGCACCTCCTGCTCTGAAACCGTGCTTTGTGAGTGAGGGAGCATTTTGTGTGTGCTGACTACTATCGCGGCCCACTTAAGCCATAAGTGTGGTTCTCAGGTTTAGCTCTTCCCACATCCAAGTGGTGCTCTCTCTCTCTCACCACACTGTCGCCTTGCTGTTTGAAGCTGCTCTCCAGAATCGACCCCTTTGTGCTTGGCATGTTCAGAACCATCTTGCCAGGAATCTCACAGCTGGCGTGACTCGGACCAGTGGAACGGTCCTGCTAGAATTGAACGCAGCTCATTCTGCACAAACTCCTTGTATTTTCAGCATGCATCACGGCAAAACTTGCAAGCACCACGCAGGCACTTTTCTGCCAGCAGTGTAATTATTCCAGAGCAGCTAAGCCAGACTATGTAAGTGATGTTAAGTGGCAGAGGCATATGTATTTTCTAAATGGTTTCTGCACTAAGTAACCAATTGTACAGTTCACTGTTATGTGTCTGAAGAAATAAACACACTCACACATTTGCAACGTTCCAAGAAAGGCCTTTGCCAATGTAGGAAAAGGAATCTACCTTAAGGCGTACTGTCACCAGTGATTTACTAGCTTGAGCTGTTAACACATTATCCATATTTAGTTGTGATTATTTATTTACCAGGCTTAGGTAATGCAAGTCAGGAAGTAAACTCATGACGCACAGCTGTGAAGCTCAGTTTAGGAAACCTTGTTTTTATTTATTTTGGCTGTCAATTGCTAGGTGCCATAGATCTCTGCTTGCTGCTTGAGTCTGGAGAGCTGTTTTCCCAGCTGGCCTGGTGCATGTGAAACAGGAAAGGTGTAGCACAGCAAGGCAGTGTATTCAGGACTGCTTCACACAATTAATCAAGGACTGCAGTATCAGGTAATGACTTGCGTGCGCCAATGAGCATTGCAGACCTTGCTTTGGATGATGCCAATGGCAGCTAAAAGCTTGTTTCGTGGGGGAAATGCACCATCAGCCGTCTAGGATCTCTCTCTTGCCCTGGATGGCCCCAGTCAGGACTGTGGGAGAGCGGTGAGACAACAATAGGAGTCCCTGTAGGAAAAAAGCTCATGGCCCTTGTCCCGGGTTTGAACACAACTGAAAACCTGCACATTTCCAGCAATGCAAGGCAACATCTGCAGTCTGCCAAACACAACGTTCCTTTTTTCAAAATAGCCATGCATGAATTTGACAACTATGCAAAGAAAATGGCGTCTATCTCAGAACTGTGCGTGGAAATAGGGGATATTCCTGTTTGGGGTGGGTAGGAAGAACCCTCCGCAGCTGGGGTTGGCTTTGGAAAAATAAGAATCCATCTCTCACAGCAATGTCTCACCAGAGTCTCAGGCTGAAGTCTTCCTTGTCAGCCACTATCCTTTAATTGGCTATCCAGACATTGAAGCTGGAGATTTCGGCATGCAGAGCGTGGAACATGCCACAGAGCTAGGGATCCTCCGGTGAATAGCTGTACAGGCAAGAATGGGAGGGGAGAGGGAAAGAGACGAAAGCTTGCTCAGTTTGTCTCTGTGATGGGCAATGCCATTTTTCTTGTAATATCATTGGATATGCCATCATCTCCTCCTGCGTTGGGCAATATAGATGGCCACGAGAGAGGTAAAATTGCAAGGGAAATTCAAAGGTTCTTAGGTATGCGATTTTGCAATGAGATTTTGGAAGAAGTTCTGTCAAGGTGAAAGCAATTATTGTCACCAGAGACTACCACTGAACTCAGCAGGACTAACTTATAAATGACATCCTTAATTATTGGAGATCAAGTGATGTTCAGCTCACTCTTTGCACCTATGTGTCAGGTCCAAGGTTCAAGCCCTGGCCTTTTCGGCTAAAAGATTTCAGGTAGCAGGGCCAGGTATGATCTCTACCTGGATTCCTGCAAGCAACTGTAATGCCAATCAGGGTAAATATTGGTGGGCCTGATGGATCAATAGTCTAAATCAGTCTAGCATATGTACATGTGTTGTACTTGTAACTCTGAGCACACTTTGTTGTTGTTTAGTCACAAAGTCATGCCCGACCCATCATGACCCCATGGACAACATTCTCCAGGCTCTCCTTTCCTCCCGCATCCCCCAGAGTCCACCCAAGCCCACACTGACCACCCCAGTGACCCCATCCAGCCACCTCATCCTCTGGCGTCCCTTCTAGTTTTGCCATCTATTGTTCCCAGCATCAGGCTCTTCTCCAGGGAGTCCTTCCCTCTCATTAGGTGGCCAAAGCATTTGAGTTTCATCTTCAGTATCTGGCCTTCTAAGGAGCAGTCTGGGTTGACTTCCTTCTGAGCACACTTACTGGGAAATAAGTCTCATTTAGCCATGCAACAGATCCTCTTG